AGGAGACAAATTAGAGAACAGAATAGGTGAGAAAGTACTCATTGCGCAGTATAGACATTAAGCATGACTGGTTTTAACAATGATTACTTAGTAAGTATCAGCTATTATGTGTCAGACATTGTGCTAAGTCCTTTACATGGGTTTGATATTTAATTCCATTTGAGGTAGGCATTATTCCTTTTTAAGAGATCAAGTAAGTTCCCTTAGGTCACATAGGTGTGAGAGAGCTGAGAATCTGAGCACTCAACTGCTGCACTTGATAGTCATCTTGTGGAAGGAAAAATATTTGAATTGAAAGGCTTCGTGGGTGAGATAGGTTTAAAGCTTGAGCTGTCAAGATTTTATTAAAAACAAAACAATAACAACAACAAAAACTCAAAAACTGAACATAGAATGGGTTGTCAGTTGACATCTAGTCAGGTCCAACTCATGGTGACCCCAAGTACAACAGAACGAAATGTTGCCTGGTCTTGCACCATCCCCACAGTCGTTGGTCTGCTCGAGTCCATTGTTGCAGCTACTGTGTATTTTGAGTGCCTTCGAACCTAGAGGGCTCATCTTCCAGCACTATATTGGACAATATTCCATTGTGATCTGTAGTGTTTTCATTGATTTTTGGAAGTGGATCACCAGGTCTTTCTTCCTAGTCTGTCTTAGTCTGGAAGCTCCACTGAAACCTGTCCATCATGGTTGACCTGGCTGGTATTGGAAATACTGGTGGCAGAGCTTCTAGCATCATAGCAACACACAAGCCACCATGGTACAACACACTGACAGAATGCGTTAGGATGGTCCAATTTGGGAAGGAGATCTTGAGGTAAGACTGAGGGAGTGCGTTCTTACATATGAGACAGAATATTACTGAGAAGGGTCTGAAGGATTGGAGGGAAAGGTACTAAGGTATGTGGGTCTGAGGAAGAGTCCTCAGGCTCCTAGTGCTGTGGGTGATGAAAGACCCTGAACTGCGTATCACCAACTGTCTTAGTCATCTAGTGTTGCTATAAACAGAAATACCACAAGTGGATGGCTTTAACAAAGAGAAATTTATTTTTCCACAATAAAGTAGGCTAAAAGTCCAAATTCAGGACATCAACTCCAGGGGAAGGCTTTCTCTCTTAGACAGCCTTCTCATCAGTCTTCCCCTGCGCTAGGAGCTTCTCTGCTCAGGAACCTCAGGTCCAAAGGATATGCTCTGCTCCTGGCACTGCTTTCTTGGTGGTATGAGGTTCCCTCTTCTTTTTATCTCTTGAGAGAGAAAAGGTGATGCAGGCCACACCCTAGGGAAACTCCCTTTACATTGAATCAGGGATGTGACCTGGGTAAGGGGGGTGTTACAATCCCACCCTAATCTTCTTTAACATAAAATTACAATCACAGAATGGAGGACAACCACACAACACTGGGAATCATGGCCTAGCCAAACTGATACACACATTTTTTGGGGGGACATAATTCTATCCATGACACTAACCCTGCATTGAGATTAAGGGTACTATCTTTCATAATCGATTTGTGCTGTCTGACAGGGTTTTTCATACCCTCACAGTCAAATATTGATTGACCAAATTTTCTGTGAAAATATTTGGAACCAAAAGCACTCACTGAGAGTTTGGAACCATGTTACATCCCAATGAATTGGTAGCTTGGTTAATCTGATCCCAGGATGTATGGTTCGTAAGTATGAATTCTTTCTGACTTTTTGAAAAACATCTCCAGTGAAAGCTGGATCTCTTTGACAATATGAGTGGAGTCCTGGTGTGCAATGGTTAAGCACTCTGCTGCTAACTGAGAGGTTGGTGGTTTGAACCCACTCAGTGGCTCCACGGAAGAAAGACCTGGCAGTCTGCTCCAGTAAAGATTACAGCCTAAATATGCTATGGGGCAGTTCTACTCTGTCACATGGGGTCACTGTGAGTCAGAATAGACTCAACAGCGCCCAGCAACAAAAAAGGGACACAGGCTGAGAGATTTGGGAGGTTTGGTTTACCAGTATTTTCTAGTATAAAATATTATTTTATTGTCTTAAAACCAAGGTCTGCTTTAAGTGCCACAGACTCTGTGATATTTTGGTTTCTTTGAATGTTGATTATACTCAGGTAGTAGAAAGACTAAACATTTTTATAGCATGCTGTTAATTTCAGCTGTAGTAAAAAGTAAAACCCCAGAGATTTTCTGCTTAGTTATTTGATGGTCATTTTGTTAGATTGCGAGATTAAAGAACTAGACCTCAATTTACAAGTGTGGATTGACATTTCATACCTGGCTATTTTCCAAGAGTTGAGCTCATTTTATCTGCAAACATTAGAAATCAAGCACACCAAACTTGGGCTGACATGATTTAATTTGCCACATTAGCTAAGTCACAATTAACTGTGTTAAATTTCCATGGTCTGTCTAGTCCAAGTGTTCTGTGTGATAATTCTGTAAGCAAAACCTCGCTTCGTTTTCCAGATTAAAACAAAACAATAAACCTGTTTCTTCCTTGAAGCCTTCAGTGTGTATATTTAAGCGCATGAAAGCTTTGGCAGTTTTATTTATTGTTCTCTCCCTGCCACAGCTAGAAAAAAAACAGTTTTTTTCATCAAATCTTCGTACAGCTTCACTTGTCAAATGGCATTTTGCTTGAATTGAAAAATATAAAATAAAGCAACAAGCTACGGTTTAAAAATTATAGCCCGCTTCTGCAGCTGTTGTTCAAATCAAAAACCACCAGCAAATCCTTTGGCATTAGTTATACTGAATTTGTAACAGCCTGTACCGCAGGAAGTTGCTAGAAGTCTCTGGGGGGAAAGGGTAAGCCTAACATGGAGGGAAATAATTAAAGTTGCAATATCCTCTTCTGTAAATGAAAATAAAACGTAGACCTCCCTTTTGGACCTAATCTAAAGGAAGTACAGGAAGGAAGAATGCACTTGTAGAATTTTAATGAGAAACAAAGTTCAATGATTTCAGTCCTGCTGTGGAGAACTTGTAGTGGCATTCTGGGAGAGTGTCATTTTTACTCTTCACTATTGTTAAAATATGGGCTTTATAAGGAACAACTTTGAGAATGTATTATTTGAGAAAATGGTTGCATGTTTGCCTGCTGGTGGTTTTTTTTCGGAGCTTTTTTTTTGGAGGGTGGGGGCTTAGATACTTAACAGGTATTTGCCCATGTGGTGTTGTGATTTTAAATTATTCAGTTTTAAAAATAATACATGGTTGTTTTAATAAAAGAAATAATCTCATTCTCTTGAGAAAACTATTGTTAACAGCCTGGACTCTATTCTTATGATATTGCTTTAAAAAAAAAAGTAACATTTGGATTAAAAACCATAATTTTATACTTAAAAATTTATGTCCTGAGGTTTTTACAAGCTATTCCTCTCAAATGACAATCATTAATGCAGGCTATACTTTGTACAGTCCAAAAAAAAAAAAGAATAAAAATACTAGGTTTTTCTTGATCTTAATTTTTGCCTGTCTTAAATTCTATTTTATGCTTTTTAGTAGGATCTCTTAAGGATGAAAAGAGTACCTGTGGAGCAGGAATGAACACAGAACTGTTCTGTGACTTGTCAGTTAAACACCTATCTCTTTGTAGTTAACTTTAATGCCTCTGGGAGTGGATGCTTTAGCATATTTTGCAGCGAATCGAGTATCCTTCTTTTGGGAACAGTCTTGGTTAAGGCCAAGGAGCCCTGGTGGCACAACGACTAAGTGTTTGGCTGCTAACTGGAGGGTTGGCGGTTCGAATCTATCCAGTGGCTACCTGGGAGAAAAGACCTAGCAATCTGCTCCTGTAAAGATTACAGCCTAGGAAACCCTATGGCACAGTTCTACTCTGTCACGTGGGGTCATTGTGAATTGGAGTTGACTTGATTGCACCAAACAACAACATTGACTGAGGTCACTACATACATACTTATCCAAAGTTGAAATTCTACTTGCTGATGATTTGTTTCATTTTTCTGTAATCATTGATCTGTTATCTTAAGGTACTGAGAAGAAACTGGTTGTGAGGGCCTATTTTCTTGGTGGAAGGATTCTTTGCTTGACTTTTCTCAATGAGATAAATTGAGGTTTGGTGAAAAGCACACAATTGATCTCATTTCTCTTGAGGGGCACGGAGGATGATTTGAAAGAATGACTAGAGTCCCGACAGGACACCCCTGGTGTTGGGGTTTTCAGGGGCCTACTCCCTTTAGAATGTATGGATTTGAGTTAGGAAGAGTCAGAAGAGCCCTGTCCCTTGTGGATGTCCAGGTCTCTGGGCACCAAGTGTCTCCATCTGTCTCTGAGTGGACTGCAGAGCTTGAATAGGAAAGGTCATCATAGACAGCATGTTTACCTACTAGGAGGAAAAGCAAAAAAGAATATCTTGGTTATCCTATAGAGACAACTTTATTGAAAAATGCAATGGAAATCGTTGATAAGAACTGGTATTGGAATACTTTCGTTTCAATCAAATTTTTTTTTTTTTAACTCAACTTCAATTCTTTTCATGAGGTTTAGTTTGAACTGCGGAAGGAAAAGTGATTCCCTCAAGTACAATAATGTTCCTTTGAAGCCTGTTGTGAGAATTACCTAAGATTTTTAAAGCAAAGGAAGGATCTTGATATTACAATAGGCACATTTATGCTGCTTTAGGTACACCATTAGATTCCATTTGTCTTCTTAAAGTGTTTGCTGTTATTTTAGATAATCCAAGGCTTATCCTAATTTATACAAGGATAAGAAGGATAAAGAAAAATCCACAGAAAATCGACAAGTACTTATTTAGCCATTAGTTATGTCAACCTTCCCAACCAGTTGTGTTCAAGCTGTCTAGAAGAATAAAAGTCATTTTAAGGTTACTTTTCCTACCCCTCACTCTTGCCTAATTCCTGTATAAGACTCAGTAGGCTTAAAAATGGTCATACTGTGGATATAAGAATGGAGACTGAATTCAAGTAACCATTGAAAAATGAGCTCATGGAAGGAATGATAAATTCATGTATGTTGTTCCTTCCCCCATTCAGGATATTCCTGCCGATTGGTGTCACAGAACATGGCCCTCATCCTCCTGAAGGAAGAGTCTTTGGATGTAAGTAGTTTTGCAAAAGTTATATTTGATATAACTTTAATAAACTATTTGTTTATTTGTTTCTGATATGATTGATAATCAGGGTTTTTGTTTTTGCCAGAAAACAACTATACAACTACTGTGTGAGTGTATGCTTTTTTGTTTGTATTTAGGAACAAATGTCATACAAGGGTATCTTTAAATATCAAAATAGTAAGCTTATAATATTGTTTCCTGATAATATTCTATTTTACTCATCTAGGATTCTGCATTTAATACCAGCTGGTTTTCTTTTAATCTGGTTTAACTTTAACAATTAAATTTGAAGTATGAATGGAATCTATTATGATTTACATTAAGTAGTGATGGTTAAAACACACATGGGGCCACCATGAGTTGGAATCAACTTGACGACAACAGGCTTGGTCTAGTTTTTTAGTGATGGCTAACTCCATTGTAGGTTAATAAGGAGGTTTTTTGGATTTTCTTTTTAGTAGAAACCTTAAAATAAGGATAATACTCATGTGTCAGGAGTTGTTTATATTTTATAGTCATAGGGTATATATGCTCTTAATTCCCCAACATCCCATTACCATGAGTTCATGAAGAATTGAACAGCCTGGGCTTTCCAAGTATTTTATAGACATGTAATGACCCCCTCATGGTCTAAAGCTAGTGATGACACCAGGAGTGAGAGCTGATCTCAGGGTAACCAGTGACCTGTGTGAGTGGTTTGATATGAAAAGATGAGCTGAACACATCAGATTCCATTTCTTGGGACTTTTAGCAAGAGACTCATTACTGACAGGCACCAACAGTCACTCTCCCATGCAGTGTACTTAAATGCCAGTGCTGGGAGCAAATCACAGGGTTAGTTATCATGGGAGGACATATAGCACAGAGATTTCCATGCTTGCAAATGGGTGAGGCCATGAATGTGAAGGACAAGACATACTCTACCCCTCCAAGGGCAGGTGTCAGGAAGAGAATCTATGAACTACATGTGCTCAGGACTAAACCTTTCTCCTTCTGGCCTCCAGACCACCATCAGCAAGATACCTTCTTTGGCTTGAGGTCTTCAGGATTCACGTCAGTATTCTTTTTGTACTTGTCTGTGTCACTGCCCGCAAGAAGCCCAGCACTCCCAGGTCATCCCTCATCTCATGGACTCTCATTCTTCTGTGGCTCAATGGTAGTGAGGAAACCTCCCCTCCATCCAAGTGTTCCCTTCTACCCAACACTCACACTTGCCTTTATTTTTCTCTGTAACACTTTTCATCATTTGAAATATTTAGTATTTTATTTATGTTATCTGTAGTCCTTTAGAATGATAGCTCCATGGGGAAAAATTTTCTTATGTTAATGGGCATCCCCACCCTCAAGACAATGCTTGGCACACACCTGCTTCTCAGTAAATGAATGAATGAATGAACAAGCCCAGAAAATTTTTTCAGTTATCGATAAGAACTTACATTTAAAGGTAATACTCATTCTGAGATAGTCATTAGGATAGCTCTGATGGACCAGGAGCAAGCTGAAGTTCTGAGAGTATAGAAACTGATCAAGCAAAGGAAGCACATTGGTAGGAAGCAGAGGGGAGGGTTGACCTAGAGAGATGCCCAGAATCTTGAACAATCCACACAGCCTGTGAGCACACCCAGAGCGGCTGGTTCCTGGTGCTTCTTTGTTTTCTGATGGTTTTCCAGATCCAATGCATCTGCAGCCTCAGAATAAACCCCATTCTTCTGGAAGCAACTCAAGTGTGCCTACGTTGTCTTTTATACCAGGTATTCTCTGGAATCCAGGAGATGGACTCTAACTCTACATAGCACTCTAAGAGTTGCTGCCCTAAATGGGACTTTTGGTTTCGTTAGACCTATTGAGACCAAGGAATGGTTTGTCATGTCAGACTGAAAAGGTTTTGTGGGTATATGCCCGCCTTCCCTTAGTAACCTCTTAGGGTTGTTTCTTCCTTAACCATGATTGAACTTTAGCTTTTGGTATAAGACTTTAATACGTTCAATATCTATTGAGCATAAGTGAACTTTTTCATGTGCTTTTTATTTTCAAGACTCAAAGGGGGGATACTTCATAGTTCTGTCTACCAAGGAACCTTCTTTATTTTTATTTATTTATTATTTTTAACTAAGGGTTAAAGGGATTCCTAGTCTCATTAAAATTTCATATAGTAGGTGTGGCATAAAAGCAGAGTTCTAGGAGTTCAGTAATTTAGATATACAGTAGGTCCCTAGTTGCACTCCCAAATTGAGCCTCTAAAGTTTCAGGGCTCTGATGATGAAGCAAACAAGACAGGAACAAGGGAAATGGCTCAAGACATGGAAGAATTGAATCTGGTTTCCCTTGCTATACCCCTTCATAAAGGTAGGAGGGAATAAGAGACCTACTTCAAAGATCCAAAGCAAGTTCTCATCATTTTCGCTTGGCTGACAAATATGTCTAGGCCAGGACTCTAAGTCTTTATAAATGATTACAATTTATCTTTCTGTTTTGATTTTTGGTCTGTTGCCAAAATAACATCTAAGCTCTGCTTGTAATACAGGCAAGATCAGTGGTCTTTGGAACAAGGGGGATGGTGGTGTGTACCCCAGGGCCACACTAGATGATCCATTCATTTGTGGAAGAAAATAATATAATTTTATTTTTTAAGTTAAAGAAAAAGTACAGAGAAATGAAGATTTGTTGATAACAACATATGGATTACCACTGATATACCCAATCCTTATTTCTGGTATACTGACCAGAAATGGGTGAGGGAGGAGTGGGTTGAAGGAGAGAGAAATGAGTGGCGTTTCAGAAGAAGGGTTGATGCTGGGACTCTCCCTCTTTTGTTCACTTTTTGTTCACAGGGAAGGTAGAGGTTACTATTTTATGTAGAATGGTTAGGGGAATCCTCTCTAATAAGGTGATATTTGAGCCGACTTGCAGGAAGGGAGGGGAATAGGAGCCACAGGGCCATCTGGATAGGGGATCATACATCTCAGTATGCCTTGGACAGTTTCAGTTCACACCTGTTGTAGTGACATATGTTTAAGAGCATCCCTTTTCACTCCCCCAAAGTGCCTTGGTTTGGATGGTATATGATATCATTACCCTGTATCTGGGAGAATCGTGTTCCAGGCAATGGTTCAGTGAGTTCAAAAGTCCAATGTACTTACATCTTAATGTGTTTGCACAGCGTTGTGGCTGCAGTGGAGTGGGCAAGGGAGAGCATGGCTGAAGAAGTCAGTGGAATAGCAGCACCCTGATCCTGTAGCCTTGTAGGTCACTGTGGTGATCTAGCTTTTATTCTGAGTGACGTGGGGTGACATTGGTGGAATTAGAGCAGAAGAGGGACCTGATTTGATTGATCTTTAAGAAAGGTATGACTGCTGGGGTAAGTATAAGACTAAAGGGGAGCAAGGGCAGAAGCACGGAGACTGGCTAGCAGGCTGTTGCACGAATCCAGGTAAGAGGCAATGGCGGATTGTATCAGGGTATTGGCAGTATCGGTGATAGGAAGTAGTGAGATTCTGGCTACATGATATTTTGACAGTAGAACCGACAAGATTTGCTAATTTATTGAAGATGGAAAATAAGAACGGTAAGAGGTAAGAGTGACTCCAAGGGTTTTGATCTGAGCAACTGGAAGAACTAAGTTGTCATTTCTGAGATGAAGAAGACTGTAGGAGAAGCAGGTGTGATAGTTGGGGGAAATCCAAAGTCTTTTTTGGACATGTTAGAAGTGAGATGATTATTAGATATCTTTAGGCAGTTGAATCTATATCTACATCTATATCTATATGCACACACACATATATATACAAATATATATGTATATATGTGATATATGTATGAGTGCATATATATGTTTATGTCTGGGAGTTCAGGGGAGAGGTCTGAGAGATACTTGGAAGTCATCAGTGTATCATTTTTAAAGCCACGAAACTGGATGAGACCCCCAGCATTGATTAGAGATAGTCCAGAGGTCTAAGAATTTAAGATCTAGGAATACTGCATTAAGAGTTTGGGAGATGAGAAAAGCAAAGGAGACCAAGAAAAGTGTGGTCTTTGGGATAGGTAGAGAACAAGAGAGGTTGGTATCTCGGAAACCAGGTAGAACAAAATCTTTCAAGAAGGAGGGAAGGGACAATTGTATCAAACATTGCCTATACATCCAGTGAGATGAGGTCTTAGATTTAATTGGTTTTAGCCATGGGGAGTTCATTGGTGATCTTGTCAAGAGCTGTTTGAATGATTATGGAGATGAATGCCTGATTGGAATGGATTCAAGAGATTGGGTGAAAAATTGGAGAAAACAAGTACAGAAGATTTTAGTGGGTTTTGTTGAAACTTTTCATAGGTCTTAGATTAACATGATAATCTATTTCTTTATCCTGATAAGCAAATTAATAGATAACTTTTGTCTTCTTTACCTGCATAATAAACCAAGATTTTTTAATAAATTCAACCCATAAAATAATATTCCTTCCCTAACATTTTCTGTTTAATTGTAAGTGGTGAATGTTTGTTACTAATGGCCTTGAAATAATTAGGTGAATCAATCAAAACTTTAAACTTAATGTACTAAACTTTTTATAATCTATCATACTTTTGTCTACACTTTTTTAAAAATAAAACAGAGGTGGCATTACTTGATTTTTTTCTTCTTAGCTGCTTAACAAATCATTCCCATCCAATGAGCTTATTTATTTATGTCCATGCTGTGGAATACAGCTTTGGGGAGATGAGCTCGAAAGTCTTTGTCTACTACTAGTGCTAATGGTGTCCCTGCAAGCATCAAAAGCATAGAGAGAGACGAGGAACACATAACCTGGCAGGGAGCCTGATGATTCTTGACTTACCATGGCCGGCTTCCCAAGTGAAGAAAATCAGTAATTACATGGTGTATCATAAAGGTATATCATGAAAAACGTTAAATGTCCACAGTGATAGTGGTTCTTAGGCTAGGATAACAACCTACTTTGCTGTGTCAGTGGAGCCAGGCTCTTGTAAGAGAAAAA